GGCCAATAAAATAGGTATTGTAGCAAAAGTACATGTATTATCAAAAAAATGAAACGCAATTAATCGTTCTTGAAACGCAATTAGGTCGTAACGTCGTGGAAGAGCTTGCAGGGGTGCTCTCCCGACGCGAAAACCATGGAAAAATTGGTATCGTGATGGCGCCCTCCGGATATTTTACCCGGAGCAAGGAAAGTCGGACGGGTGCATGGGATTATATTAACAAATGTAATAGATCTATGCAACGATCTTTCGATTTTATAGCCGAAAAACAAAAAGAAAACGATCGATTTAAGTTAAAAAAAATGTAGTTGTAATTTCTTTTTTTATTTCTTGTATTTCGACTTATTATTTAATTCCTGTAATACGTTACTATTTTAAATTATTTTCTATTTTTGTATTTTTGTTTTGTATTTTTTATTATTTTATCTTTATTTTCGACTGGTCCGAATCCGAATAAATATTTACTTTCTATTTGCTTTAAGCTGTGATCTTTATTTCGTTACATCCATAGCCTAAATTCGATAATCAATGTACTTTTACTCATATTTTTTTTTTAACAAAGAATTTAATTATGAACAATAAATATCCTTATTTATTTCAGATCATATCCGTTTGAACAATCGTATTTAATATTTCTTAATTAAATTTTTTTTCCTAGCAAATGAGTATTGGTTAACAATTTTTACGTAATATCTCAACGTGATTATTTAAAAGAATAGTATTAAACTAAAATTCAAAGACATTACCTTGATGCGTCAATATTAATTGGTGATGGTCTTTTTTATTTTGTAGGGATTAAAGGTTGTTTTATAATTAAGTAATATATATATATTTATTATCACTTTACTACTTTCTCTAATATTATTAAAAATAATAATTAGATTTATAGATATTATAAAAAAAATTTAAAGTCAATACCAACAGATATATTATTTACATCTGATATTTTATAAATATAATCTATGCAAAACTTATATTAATCTATACAATTTGTATAAATTTATATTAAAATGTAACCTTTGATATAATGGTTGCAACCTAATATATAAACTTATATAAATTAATACTTAAAAATTTCTAATATAAAATTATTTAAATAAATTAAACCAACAGATCTTAATAAATTTATATTTATATAAATAAAATTTTTAATAGAAAAATATTAAAAAATAATATTAAAAAACTTATTTATATTTAAAATATTAGCGAAGTAAATAGAAAATTTTATAATTTAACATTATTATTTCATATTATATTTATTTATCTACTCAATATTAAGTTATTACTCATTGATTTTATTATTGCATAAAGATAAAATTTTTTAATTAAGATTACTTTAGACTTAATGATAATTTCTATTTCTTAGTTTCTATTTGATTTTGTTAATTATTATAAAATATTAATTAAAATTTCTTTATTAAAAATATTTATTTTAATTATAATTTATATAGTTTTTTATATTTAAATATATTATTTATATTAATCAAATTTAAAAATTAAATTATTAAATTACCTGCTTTTTTTAATTAGTTGTAATTTATTTTTTCAGTAATTGTATTTTTTTGATTTTAGCAACTAATCTTAATAATATTAAAATAAATAATATATAATATATTATCCTTTTTAAAAAATTGTAAAAAATTTAACTAATAAATATTACCTTTATTACATTAAGTATATTGTATTATATAAATACTACTAAATAAATTTAAGTATTATATTATTTATATAATTTATATTATAATAAGTATTTTGAATAAATTAATTCAAATTATTTATTAGAAATCATCAAAATAATATTAAGTTAAATTAAAAAATTTATTAAAATCAAATTGAATTATAATTTAAAAAAATTTATATTATTTATAAAACTTAAATTATAAAAATTATAAAAATTATATAATTTATAATATTTAATAAAAATATAAATTAAAAATAATTAATCTAAATATTATAATTTTGTAAATAAACCTAAGTAAGTTATTATTTAACTTGAATAATAATCCTATTTTTTAAGGATAATGCATTTTTATTATTTTTTTTTAAAAAGAATGATATTTTTTATAAGAATAATAATCAATATTATTCAATAATAATTATAATTGATAATTATAAGATAATTATTATCTTTTAAGAATAATGATTGTAATTATTCTATAAGATTTATTATTTGATAATGATAATTGCAATCATTTTATTAAAAAATAATTATTATTATTCGAGAATAATATTTTATAAAATAATTACAAATTTAAAAAGAATTTGATTTTTTTTAATTTTAGTTTAATATATTTTAAAAGCTAATCAGTTAAAAGAATTATATTAAAAAAATCAAAGCTGAAGATTTATATTCTATTTGATTATTAAAATCCAACCAAGGTAAATTAACAATTACCCTAGAAGATTAGACAAAAAGTTTCTAGCAGCCATTTCTTAGATTCATCTTTTATTGAATTGATGTTGAACAACTAATGAAGGTCCTTTCAAAAAATTTACAATTACAAATCCAAGTAATAGTTTCTTAAGGCTTTTCGCCTAGTGGTACCTTTACATCTGATGGTATTGCTAAAAAGAAGCTATTAATATCAGATAATAATTGATTCGAAGAAGGATGCTAGACATCAAATTATTTTGAACTGCCTTTGCTGGGTTCCATAAACCATTTTATGTCAACCTCACGAAAAGTGAATAATAGTTTTCTTATATGTAAATTAGTTAACTAAAAAAAATGAAGATATAATAAAAAGTAATGATTAAATAGGAAATTATCTCTCTCACCTATTTGTTTTTTATGATTGCTATTTTCAAGTATTTTGACCACCATCCAATACTGTGAGATTAGCATATAACAAACTATATGCTATCTCAGATAATAGCAATCAAAATAAGCTTGAGACACTGCTAGTGTCAAATTTAAAAATAATAGTAGACAAGATGTTTACATAGTCGAATCAAACTCCTGTGATCGTGGAAGCTGTGTATAAGATAAGGAATGTTCTAAATTATCAACTTTTAAACTTTACAAATTTTTCTTACGATGGAACTCTTAGATGTTGTTTGCACCATTCATAATAGAACAAAATCGAGAAAACTATAATCTTGACGAAAGTACCAATATCACTTGAAATGCCACCTCAATAAGCTGTGCTGCTAATAAAGATGTCCATTTGTAGGTATTTCGATGCATTAGGATTTTCTGTGGCTAATTGATTTGATAATCTTGCATAGGTTTATTAAATGTTGCGGTCTGAGAATTATTCCTGGTGGCAATTTCGTTGGCTCTTTATTAATCTTGCATCAGCTTTATTCTTGCCTGATGGTGCACCAAGTCTCATCCTTTCTCAATCCAGTTCTACTAGGGCTTGTTTGGTCAAACTGCTGTTTACTGCACCTTTCAAATGCTCACATTTTTCTATCATATCCGACTATGCTTCTTTTCTAACTTCATCATTTCGATCTTTGTTTGCAAGTTATAATTGTCGAACCATGTGTGACAATTTGCAAATCATTCTTTTTACAGCTTCCTAAATAAATTATTAAATATTATCGTTATATTACAATTGAGGAATATACGATTATTTTTAGCAAATTTCCTTTTTTTTTAACCTAATCCTATAAAACGAACAAGGCTTCTAAATCAGTGACAGAATTTGTGCGAACAGCTTGCTAATGTGAAATTGAAATTCAATAAATTCTCGCGCTTGAAGAGCTGCTATTCCAAACTCCATATGAATCCATCTTTACGCATTGGTCATATGCTGTATTTAAAAGGTTTTATTAGTATTATTAGTTTTGAAAATATTTATTACATAACTAGTAACTTTGCGAAAATACCAATTGTTTCGGAAAAAGCCGTTAATGCGTCTCCCGCACGTTCTTTATACTAAAGTAACAATCAATCTTATAAACAAGATATTATATTTTAAAAAAAAAGTTGTAAATAATAAAATAAACGATCTTACTTGGTATTGATCATGCCGTTGATTTTCTAAATGATGGAACCTTTTGAAAGTATCTCCATTATATCAAATTCTTTTGATGAAATCTAAAATTGAAAATTTTGTTTAACACGTATTACGCATCCAGGTTTAATAGAAAAAACGTGGTAAATCAAACGGAAGCAACTTCACAATGGCTAATATAAATAGTAAAAAATCAGCATAGTTCCAAGTTAATAAAATAACCAATTCTTACCAATTGTTTTCACGAACCGGCAGTAAGATTTTCGGAAATCAAATTCAGCAAATTTGGACTCAACAATTTCGCTAATAAACTTGTATTTGATAACTTCTTTCCACTCTTTTGGAAAAATGGAGCAACAGTATTAGTAGAAACTTTCTTTAAGGATTTCCTGGCTTTACTACTGGGACGGTTTTCCAACAAGAGCTGCCTTCTTAAATGCATATCCTTTTAAAAAAAAGCAAAATGAGTTGAACTATACTATAACATATCAAAGAAAGATTAAATTAACTACTCCAAAATACGACGCACAGCTTCATTTTTTGCCACAGGTTATCCCTTTAAGTGCATCTGCTTTACTGCTTGAAATATTACTTTAACTTCGGCCTTTTCATAACATTTTTTGACTTTTCCTTTTTTATATCGTCAAGCCCTTCCAATAAAGCGCTCATTGCCTTTTCACCAGTGACTTTCACCCTTGTTCCCAATCCTTCAACAACCGATTAAGGACAGGTTCAAAGTTGTCGTCAGAAACTTTCACCATTATTTCAGGTAAGATTAGATTCAGCCTTTTGTGATGCAATTTTAGTATTTTTTTTTTTTTTTATATGACAAGCCATTTCATGGACTCTTGATTAGTTTGTGCGTTATTGTGTACCGGCCGCCAATATGTCCTTAAATATTGTAACTCAAATAATAAAATTATTAATTAGATTAACAATTGTGAAGTCAGAATGACCCGATAAAATTTACATTAAAGTACCCTCATCCAATGTCGAAGCCAAAGCATCAACACATTTTTGTTTTATTTCTTTGAGAGTTTACTATCATGGGTATACGGACTATAGAAAAATAATAATAGCTTAATAAAGGATTCAATATAAACAAATGAACATGATTAATTACCGTTTGTTAATATTTTGCAAAAGCTTCACGTAAACCCAAGGCCAACAATAGCTGCGATTGTAACTAATAAAGTATTGGAATCCAACACACGCTATAATTTTAAAGTAACACATAAGTAAACTTTCTCACTACATGATTTAATATTCTCACACCTTTACAATGCAAGCAGTCAATAATTATCCACAATCCTCGGAGTCTTACTAATTTCCGGAGATCTTTCCAATTATGTTATTTCAAGAATATATTATTAAAATTAAATTCTCTTACCAATTCATCTTTCTCTTCTACTTCAGCTTCATCACCTATTATATAAATTACAAAATATTATAAAGATAAAATCTAACCAAATGCTTCATAATATACAGAACACTATCTTCACCACTGCCTATTCTTCAGCTACTTATGAACGTAACGTAATAATCTTTAATAAATAATATTAATAAAATCTTGAATTTTACCAGTTCGAGAAACTGGGTTCAGGAAATTGGCTTCGGAAATGTTCTGTATATTCGGGAAGTCGTACTGTATGTAACCTAATAGTGATGATCAGCCAATATAAACCTCCCCAGAAGCTGTCACTAGTATTGAATCCAAAAGTTTTGCCCATAAACTGACAATTAAAGCAAATATAGTATAAAATAAAAAAAAAAAGGTGAAAAGGAAATCCTAGGCCAAATATCTTGGAAATCATAAAACTTTACTTACACGAATTAGCTTGAATAAATTCATTTCATTTTTGCATGTCTGGCTCCAAAAATATTACTGCTGTACTTTGATGGTAGATCTCACATTTCTGACATTTCTGAACTATGTCATTTCCTTCCTTTCAATAATAAGTATTTGATCTAGACCACAGACATAATTAATTGACCCTTTTAAGAAAGAATAAAATTCGATTTGCTTTTTTTTAAATTTTGTAAATTGGTCTTCGTATCTTACTTCCTCAGAAAATTAAACGATATTTTTATTGCAAAAAATTATTGAATAAAGTTTAAGGTCAGTAAAAAAGTTATTTAATAGCAAATAAAAAATAAAAAAAATAAAAAAAAGGATTCCTAATTATTAAAGATTTTTTTAAGGAAATCCGTAATCGATGAAATAAAAATTTTAAAATTATATAATTAGACTAATTAGACAATTTATATTTGTACGCGGTCTGTGACTAATGCCCTTAAAATAATTGGCAATTTTAGCAAAATAAATTCTAAACGTACCTTCATAATATAAAATATAAAGTAATATCATAACCATGATTAACAGAATGGTATTGTTTTTTTAATTTATTCGTTTCTACCATTTCTGCTCTAATTTTGGCGCGTTAATCTTTCAAAGTCGTTTTGGTTATATTGGTTGTTCATCTAAAAAAAAATGTAAAATTTATCAGTTGGTACATGTAATTTAACTTTATTCACGAAAACGAGTATACACACTTTTTAAAAAAAAATTCTTATTGGAAAAAGAAAAAAAAATGATTTTAAAGCATGATGGAAGTTTGTTTTTTATAGCCGTTTTCGAATTATAATGATCACGTGATTTGTCGATCAATTAAATTAAATTGCTACGATTAAAATTAATTTATAACTAGATATTTTCCTTAGAATCTTGTTTACTTGTTCTCAAATAAAATGCACTTATTTGTATAGGTACAGAATGGTTAATCCGTACGCCTAGGCTCGTATTGATATCAGATAAATCCTCACTGCACGCTCGCTTCTCTGGAAAATTAAAGAATAATTTAGGAATCGAAGTGCTCGGCGACGGACTTTTGTTAGATAGATGGTATTATATAGCTTATACGCTTTCTGATCTGAAAAAGAGATTAGATATCTATATAAACGGTGAATGGGTCGGGTTCTATGGTATTCAGGATGTTAAATCGGAAAAGTGATTTTCAATGACGGTTGGACGTGCATTAAACCACTATAGTTTATTGGCAAAATTAGGTAGGAATTATTATGATAATAAGGTTAAAAAATATATAAAATATTAAATGACCAATTTTATCAAATAGCAATGTTCGCTATTACAATTGGCGTTTATGTGCCCAAGAAGTGAAAGAAAGATTTTTTTGTAAGATACTTAAGAATTTTATTACATCATGAACTTTTAAAGCTTCTCCCACTGACGACTTTTATTTAAATTATGGATATTAGAACAAACTGATTTTATTTGACTCGAAGGTTGCCCTTGTTCATGTATCTACTGATAAATATTTGTCTACTAATGGAATCAAATATGACTTGGTCCCCGAAAATAAACAATATATGGTATATATCATTATTTTTGTTTTTTTTCTTATTATTTAAATTAAAAAGGTTAAAGATGCAAAATTATCTATTAAACTACAAAGGTTGTTGGTAATAAACGGGAATCAATTTGAAAAATGATATTTATACTGTTATTGGACCCTATGGTAAAAGTGTAAATGCGGGAAGCTCTGTGCCTTTTAATACAATTATTGGATTTAATCATAATGTGACAGGAGGAAATTTGCATTCTCATTATATGTGTGATGAGAAAATTACACCGATTTCGAAGCAGCAGCAAGGTAATTTTTTGTGTTTCTTATGTAATCTTGTTTTATAAGTATATTGTAAGAACTTACATAACATAATATTTAGTGACCACCAATCCTGGTGGAAATCGTGATGATGATTTTCTTATTACACGTTATAATGCAAAGGCTTTTAAAGATCACCTGGGTTTTAAAGAATGGTGATATAATCTGCCTTTTTCACATTACAACCGTATAGTCATTCTGTATTATTTGGTGATGGAACTCAAGAAATTTCATGTCATGGAAATGGAAATGATGAAAATAATAAGGTAACTTAAGTTTAATTTAGCAAATGTAATTTCTAGTTAAAACACTAATAAATGAGATTAATATAATGTTTTTTAGTGACGTATTGAATTAATTGACTGATATAAAATGGGATAGGTCATTTCACAATACTCATTTTTAAAAAATATATCTTAACGCATTTGGCATATTATATGATTTACTAATGATCCACCCAGACTTCCAAAATTCACTAAACACCCAATAAATGTGATTATTCAAACAATTATTATAATTGTCATAATGGAATGGCTGGACTTTCCCAAAAATCTATATTTATGCACTGCGCCTTAAATTTATATAAAATTTCCCCTGTTAAATTGGATAATTATAACGCGTAAATTTCTGAAAAATTCAAAATGCGTAACGATCGCGACAAACCTATATATTAATTCAATTTATTGGCATTTCTCGTAAGACGATACTTTACTTTTAGTAAATTTCTTGTAAAAATCTGCATATATCAAAATATGCTAATTGTTTGTAAATTGTGACAAGTATTGACTTCCTTCATATTAAAATTAATTAAATTTTTACAAGAATATTATCTTATTAAAAAATATTAAATAATTAGTTATCTAAATTTTTTTTTTGTACCATTTTTTTTTTGCTTGAAATGACGCAGCAAATAAAATTTTGTTTATAAAATGTTGACATTTATCGTTATACAATATATTATTTCATATATATCTTGTGACTTAAAACTTTAGATAGAGTTTTTCAGCTTACATACGCTATATCAAATGGATATGAATAAAGTTCAACTGCAGGCTCAAGTTGAGTAAAATATATTTCGACTCAGCTTGATTTTTATTGTATGATAGTACTAACGGGCGTCTTGAATTTTTTTTTATATTACATGAATTTAGAAAATTTAATTAAATAAGAAATATAGATTTGCTACATTTCACATGGTCGCTAAAGTTCGACGTAAAAATTTCAAAAAGGGAAGATACTTCACTAACAGTAAATAATGTTCGTTATGAAAAGTTTTTTAAAGAATAATCTTTAATTAATAATACATATTTATTGGAAACTCGCGTAGCCTAATTTTATAATACGAACGCAATTACCGATTTCATATTCATCAATTACTTTCGAAATAAGGTTAGTAATAAAGATCTCAGGTTTCAACGATGTGCATGAAACTCCTTATAAAAACTTAACGAAATAAACAATTTTCAGTATTAAAATAAATTCAATTTCTAGCGTTGGAATTATTAGGTTTTATAAATGATTTTAAATACAATGAAATACATAAAATGCTAGCATAGAATCCGAATTTTTGAAGCTAAAAAATGATGATTAAATTGCGAATGCAGCGGATTTTTGTCTATGCTTTGTCAATAAATACAAGAAAATAATTTTTTTTTTGCTTAATAATATATAACATTGATTGCGAGTGATACATACAGTATAAGCAATAATAATGATAAAGATATTTTGAGTATTACTGAGATCAGTGGCTAACACGAAATAAAGAATTAAAAAGTGAACGAACTGCATTTGCTAAAAATAATTACATATTTAAATAAGATGTTGATGAAAAATTAATAAAATTTATTTATAAATAATTATTTAAATCATATAATAAGCAAATATAATAATAATTTCTTTTATAATATTTTATTTAAAAAATAAATTAATATAAAGTTATAATTTAGAAAAATAGGAAATTGTATAAAATATACAAAAAATATACTGAATATGAATGTTGTAAAGAATGTTATACAAAGATATTTCGTAAAAATTTTTTTTAATTGGATTAGTAAAAAAAATTTTATTGATAAATTTATTCAAAAGACTCAATTAAATATTTATAATAAAAAACAAATTTTAGAATGGATTTCTTATAATAATCTTAAAAATATTGAATATTATGATGAAGAAGGATTAGTATTATATATAAAGCTATATGGATAAATGGATTTATAAAATTTATTCTTATAATAAAGAAAAATAGATTAGAAGTAGTAAAATTAATATAATTTTTAAGTGTTTTAAGAATTCTTCAAATTTATGTAAAGAATTTTTAAATGAGATATAAAATTAATAATTTATTTTTAATTTTAAAATTATTTATAACAAATTAAATTTTTATTATTTATAGTAGATACATCATTATAATTGCTATAGTACATTAAAAATTATTCAAAAAAAAGCCTTATTAAATTATATGAATTTACTCAAGATCCAAAATCCTTAAATTATATGGTAATAATAAATTATGCAAAAGATGGTAATTTAAGAAATATTTTACTAAATATAGTTAAAAAGGAATGGATTATTAGATTATTAAAATTATATAATATTATTATTGGACTTAATGAAATACATCAAAAAAATCTAATTCATTGTGATTTTCATTTTGGTAATATTTTAAGTAATTTTAAAAAAAATTATCTATTAGTAATTTAGGATTATGTAAATCTATGAAGTATTTTCAAATATCAGCTAAAAAAATGATAATATTTATAATGTATTACCATTTGTATCACCTGAAGTTTTAAGAAGGCAATCTTATACATTTGCTAGTAATATATATAGTTTTTCTATGATTATATAGGAGATAACCTCTGAAGATACTCCATTTAATAATGAAGCTTATGATTTTCAACTTACTTTAAGCATTTGTAAAGATAAACGTCCTGAAATTATTAAAAATATATCACAATATTATACAGATTTAATGAAAAGATGTTAGGATATAAACTGTTAAAATGATCAAATGCATCAGAAATTTGCAATATAACTAGTATTAACCT